CCGTAACCCAAACCACCCCTGCCGCTGGCGGCTTCCCTGGCACCGACTGTCCCGCACCTCTTCCCCCTGCAGAAGCACACACCCTCGCAAGCTTTGAGTGCTTCCCAAGGGCGCCTGGGCAGCACTCTCTAAGCGTTTTTGGCCGCATCACAAAACCCTGTGATTTTTCTTTCTAGTAATTCTCTGTGGAGAACTGGCAAAATTCATACAAACATCTGATTTCCAGAAAGTAGATTTTGGGTGGGAGTATGTGTGAAAAGGGGAACGTGGCCTGCGCAACTTTTTGCAGCAGCTCAATACAGAAAGAGAGTATGTGGTCCAGGGCTCAACAGATTTGGTGGTAGAACTGGATGAAGGTACAAAAATGGACAGCTGCAATTTAAAGATAATTTTCAATGGAGAAAAAGGGAAAGGAAAATTCTATTTAAAGGCATTGTGATTTCTAGAAGGCAATAGTTTACCTTAACTAGCGCACTGAGTTCAAAAGCTAATCAAAAAAGACAAATCTGAAGTAGAGCTAAGTGGAGAATGTGAGAAGGATTGCATGCAAAGAGTCAGAAAAGTCTACAGTTTAATTTATGGAGGGATCAAGGAGAACATATGATAGGAATAGAGAAAATATGAAGTGGAATAAAGAAATAGCAATGTAGGTAGTCGATAAACCATTTCTCCTTTTTGTAACCTTTTCCTTACGGGGTAGGAAGCAGGCTGCATAGGCCAAACCGAGCATACGTTTTCTACTCTGAGTTTGTTGACAATTAGAGTATAATGACAAAATTTCACAGAGAAACAATAACGTATGAAAAATTAAAGTATTCATAATTAATCTCTGTTTTGAAACCCTGTCTGATGCACGCAAGTGCCACCCCTTGTTCAGAACACAGCCAGTCTCTCTTTGGCACCTCTCGAAGCATCTGAGATGGCCACTACAAGGTGGGATGATGAACTAGAGGGACTAGTAATTCCTCCTCTATGTCACCTCTTCCTTTCCCACCACAAAGTTTATTTGAGAGAGCAGAAAATCAGAATCAGTGGAGAAATTTTAGAATTTGAGCATGAGACTCCCAGCAAAAAGTTTCTCCAGTTAGCAAGACAGACGTACTGGGTTGTGTCTGGGTGCCCTGAGGAGCAGCACAGACTCTCCGCGGGAGCAAGGCGCAGCTACTCACAGTCCAGAATGACTTGAGCTGCTCGGTAGAGCTGCAGCCCTTGCAGCAGGTCCAGGAGCTGCTGCACCGTCGCCAGCCTCACTCCCCACCACCACATGAGCTCTCTTGTTATGCTGATCCCCGTCTTCTCCATGCACTTGATTTTCCGTAGCTCTGTTTGATCAGTTATCACATAGGAGGCTGGTGGGAGACAACCGATATTTCTGTTTAAAGATGAGAAAAAGCAAGCGAGTGCAAGCAGGGAAAAAAGCTAAGGGGCAAGACACACTTTGCTTTTCCATTTGCACACTTTTAAAAGGAAGGATCACAATAAATTAGCTATGTGGACATGAAGAAAATTCAGTTCCTAAAGTAAGATATTCCTTTTATTCATTTGACCATTCTGGAGAAAATGTTGTTATATCTGAGACCCAAAAAGAAAACCCAGTCACACTTTTTAGCATATTTTCCCCATAATCTTCCTTCACCTTAAATCTTTGTAAGTTCCAATTAAATTCCTGGTGTGGTTCTCCCGAAATAGGCAACAGAAGTCAGTGGTGAGGTTGCACTCCCATCTGCAGTACCAAGTACCAGTAATACGGTGCACTCCTGTCTGCAGTACTAAAGACCAGTATCGTGGTAAATAGTGGTAAATCAAATAGTAACTGAACCACCTAGGAGTGAGTTACACTCAGACAGACCTGTTGGTGACAGGCAGCAATACCGAAGAGCAGGAGATACCGTGCTAAAGCTGAGCCTACACCATTTGTCGCAATTCCCAAGCAGGCACAGCATGCTGGTTACCCTCAGCACTCCTCGGCTGGCTCACCACCACGTAACCCACCTCCCCTCACCCAGCTCCTGCTAGACCCGCTGCAGCCGGCCGCAGCGTAAGCGCTAGGTACAGCACCGCGGGCTGGAGGAGGGCGAGGTAACGAGGTGGTACAACCACAGACGTGTCGGGAAATGCCCTTGCGTTGCAGCAGAGGGCTGGGGGAGAGAAGGCAGGAGCTGTGCTGAAACAGCGGTTCGTGGGACACGGCCACCTTGTCACTCCGTCCCGCGATTTTGTGTGCTTTCAGCTGTGCTCAGCGGTGGTCTCCTGGGGGGATACCCACCGAAGGCGCCTGTCTGACTCGGCCCCTCTCAGCTGCCCCGCACCTGATGTGCCACTTGCTCAGCCTGTAGGAGAGAGGCTTGGGGGCCGGCGGGTGCGTGTGGAGACAACAACTCAGGAGCTCACATCTCAGCTGGCTTCAGAGGGACATTAGGCATACAGTTCTATGCATCACAGTGGAGATGAATCTCCCCGAAGCCAGCAAGGTTAACTGGGCTAAGAGTTTACCCAGCAGACAGAGTCAGTGAAGTCTCAAAAATAAAGGAAGGTAGGCCACCCAAGAAAAGCTTCAGGTCAGAATCGTTTGGACTGGGATACAGGAAAAATAAAAACCTCAGAGACTGCATTTTCTATACTTAACTGGACATGGCCAGGACCGAGAAAAATAAGGGCAGTAAGTATGAGGGAATGTTCCTGAAGTGAAGGAAGAAAGAAAAAAATAGAACGTGTAAGCACACGTGAGGGATGTTTTGAAAAGAGGCAAGCAAGTAGCAGAAGATAAAGTGTAAAGGAGAAGGAGTGTGAAAGGTAGTAGAGAGCGAGGGGAGGGAGCCTGGCTGCCCGAGAGAAGCCAAAGGAACACGTAAGTCTGGAATTCCACCTATTAATTGGAGGTTTTGCTCAATCCCCAAAACAGATCAGTGCATGGGAATTCCCTGTCTACAGGATGTGCTCTTCTTTTTTTTTCTGGCCACCCCCCCTGCGGGGCCCCGCCGCGAACCTTGCCTGAACCTCGCGCCCTTCCACGGCACCTCTGCCCCACCACCTTGGGGAGCACAGCCCTGCTGCCAGCCCACCTGCCCCGCAGTGGCCCTCTCACCGAATCGCATCCAGTCATAGTCACTCAAGCAGTCCATCTTCTGGCAGAAATCTTCCAGCACCCAGGCAGGCATGCTGTGAACGTACAGAGCTGGGGGGGAGCCCCCTTTCAAGGCGAGGGGTGGCTGCTGCAGGGTCATGGCTTCACAGTCCCTCTCTGGAGAGCCCTTTGTGCCCGCCGTGGCCATCAGCAGCGGC